TCCAGGCTGTTGGATCTGCAGTGCAACTGAAGCTGTTCACTGTTTGGAACGTAGAAAGATTGAAGGCATTTGAAGGCTATTTCCGGCCACGGTTTCCGGTCACAATGAAGTCTTAGGCGCCCAGAGATGAAAACACCCCCATTTCCACATGCGAAGGGGTTTTAGTCTGGTCGCGGTTCAATCAAAAGGTCATCTTCGGTAATTATACAACTTGCCGGTTTTCTTCGGAAATTTGTCTTCGGTAACTTACCAGCTTTCTTCGGGCTGAGAAAGAGGTACAGAACTACGAGTGTTGTTTCCGGGAAGCACACGGCAATTTTGGAACTGTCGGAAGAACCATCAAAAACTGCCGTAGCACCCCTCGCCGTGCTCCATTCGATATATTTAATCTGCAAAATCGTTTCGGAAGACTGCGACAGTTTCTGAATGCCACATAGCTTTTGAAGAATGCGCACAAGTTACTGTTAAATGCAAAGTGGTTTCGCAAGATTGCAAGGTAGTTGCGGAAGATCACGGAAGAGTTTTTGAAGACTGCCAAGTAGTTGCTGAAGAATAGTTGCAATTGCTGAAGAATACCAGAAACTTATTGAAGAGACGCTGCAGAAGAATGAGGAGTTTGGGCATAGGACTTTGTTCCCTCTGCTATTGCCAACCTTGAAATTTTTCAATCCTACCACACACCCTCCCTTCTGCAAAATGCGACTCTCATTTCTATTTCAGCGCAACTTCTCTCTTCTTGTCGCCACGCGTACACTGACTTGCGATTTGCCACCCACCAGCCCAAGTAAAAAACCAAGAAGCCGGGAGGAAGTACATGCAAAACGGTCTGAAAATGGCTAGAGCGTCTCAAATCCCCAAAAGAGGTCCAGGGCTTTCAAAGGCTCCAGGTGCGACAAAATCGACGAAGCAACCTAAACAGCCTGGTCAGCTAGAGGAGAAGGTGGCCACTCAACATTACAACCAAATCAAAGTGCAGGTACAAGAGCTGGCGTCCCAACTCTCTTCCAACTGATTTCCATAGCTTCGTTGGCACGGATAGGAAATCCGTCTCCGTGCCCCCGCTAAAAATGAAAGAAACGACCCAGCGTTCCCCTCTGAATCCAAGGGTCACACAAACACACACTCTGACACTTGTATTCAGTGAACTCAGTTACCACGTTGGGAAGAAAGGCGGTAGAACAGCATGGCGAAAAGTCCAAGAAATTGTAGATGTTTGAACAAAGGTTGTTTCCCTTGACTGCGGTGAAGAAGCGGCTCAAGCTGCATCGCTGCTGGGGAGGAAAAGGTTTGGGGGGAGTATCATGAAACACCATGGAATCAAAACAGGAGGATTGGAACAGCTTGCTCAAACGTTGAAGCAGGTACGTCGACAGGACGTCTCCCGTCGATGTCACAAGCAAGAGATAGGTGTCTTCGTTGGCACCTGCCCTATCTCTGCTTCAGGTGCCCCCTGCCTGTGGTAGTAATTGGTTGGTGACAATTGGTGGGTGAGAGAAAAGCTGGAGAACCCTTTGTCCAGGGGTGGACACACACAGGTCGCCGCATCCGGCGCTTTTTTCAAAAACCGGTGGCAGGCGTGATAGTTGTGTCCTTTTTGGACATAGAGCCTCACGAGTTCAGCCGCAGCAGCTTCAGCGCTGGAGGGTGGAAATGTGTATTTTCGAATGGTGTGGAGTCTTGATTGGAGGCCTGATAGAGCCAAGCGCTGGCTCCCGGCGGTTGTGGAATCCCGGATTTTCCAGGGTTGAGAAGGTTGCATGTAGGTGATGGTGCGTTGTGGGAGGTCGATGTTGAAACCGAGGAGATGAAAATCCTCCACCGGTTCGAGTTCCACTGGGTCGCCGAAGAAATTGTGGTGGATGAGGGTTTGGATGGCCGGGTGTTGAAGGAAATGTTCGTTGTGGACAATGAAGCGGTTGTCGACATATCGATAGTAAGTAAAGTGGAGGTCCGTGTGTTGAAGGAGGTTGTTGTGGAGCTGATGCCAGGAATGCTCAATGAGGGTGATGGCAACATTGCATAGGGCTGGAAAGAGCTGGGATCCAATCCCGGCCCTCGGATTTGTTTGTAAGTATGGTTGCAGGCCCGGAAAATGCATGCGTTGAGGGCAAAAGCCACGATGGTGGTAATGTCGGAAGTCTGGATGGTGCGTTGGGTAGGGTGTTTTCGATGGTGTCTGCCAATATGTGAGTGGTGGAAAGGATTGCCGGTGGCCTGGGCATCCACCGTCAGGGTGTGTGTGGGTTGCTGTTGTTGCCAGTGGTGGACGAGGGAGTGAACTGCATCGATGAGTCGGTGCTGTGGGACGGAGTTGAAGAAACCGACCAGGTCATCGTTGGTGGCGTGTAGTGAGATGTCTGGTGGGGTTTGGGTGAGGTAGCTGTGAAAGTGGTGCCAAAGCTGGGGAATGGACATTTGGCCGGGATGTTGGGGGTAGAGGTGTTGGAGGATGATGTCAAGGGCACGGCTGGTAATGCGAAGCAGGTTGCCACTGAGTGATTGGAAGTATGAGATGATTGCACGGCCTTTTTGCCAGTGCTTCTTCTCCTTGAGGTGGACAACGCCGTAGGGAATGTTGAAGTCTTTGCGGAAGCCCCACTCGTAGCGGGTGCGCAAAATGGGAGGAACAGTGGCGGCCAGGTGATCGTGGATATTGGCGGCAGTGATGTAAGGAAGTGGTTCGAAAAGTTCGGGGGATTGCCATGTATTCAAGGCGCCAGTGAAATATTGGCGAGGGCAAAATAGCCGGAGTTGTTGTAGTTCATGGTCGGCATGGTGAAGTAAGGTGTGTTGGCCGAGGTGTTCTTGGAGTTGGCGAAGCAGGCGAGCCGTAAAACGGGGTTGCTGCTTGAGGTGTGTGTTGTGGAGGCGCCATTGGTGCTCAAGGAAAGGCTGCAAGTGCTGGACGAGAGATGGTGGAAGCCCTTGTAGTTTTAGCCATTTCGTGTAGGCCGTCTTGAAAGTGATGAAGTAGCGAGCCTTGCTGGGGTAGTAGGTGCTGTTCATATTGGCGTTGAGAAAAATGCCGAGATGCGTGGGGAGTTGGAGTTGGTCAAGTGTAAGGATGTAGTGGCCGTTGATGGTAGGGGTGTCGGGATCCTGCAAGAGGGTGCGAAGATGATCGCATGCGCAGGGGAGGTCTGCTGGATCTGGCGGGGAGTGAAGAGTGTCCTCCCATGTGCGGTGGTTATGCAGGTGGGAACGTAGGGTTTTGTGCGCAGCTTCTCGCAATCTGTGGGAGGGGAGGTGGAGGGGGATGGTGAAATGCTTGTGTTGCTGAATGGTGGTACGAAGCCACTGTTGGCAGTGCTTGGTGAAATCGTCGTGGGCCAGGAATGGCACTGTCAATGGAATATTTGGTTTTGGCGGGGTGAGGTTGCGGTAGAGAAGGGCTTTGTTGAGGATATGGAGGGCCCTGCTGCGGCCGGGTTCTTCAAGGTTTGCGGCCATGCGCCGGATTGCATAGACTTCAAGGTCCGTGTGGCGGCCGCTTCGTAGCTCTTTGGCTGCTTCAAAGGAGGCTGCGGTGTGTTTGGTAAGGTTGCGGAGAAGTTGGAGGGCGTGATGCTTGGTGGAGGTGTAGAGGTGTGGTTCTCTGAGTGTGTACTGGCGTTGTCTAAGGCGTCGAAAGAGTCGTTTGTGGGTTGCTAATCTAGAGTAGAAATGGGCTCTGTGTTTGGTGAACTGCCAGCCTTGAGCTTTGAGCTTGAGGTGGTGGGAAATAAAAGGCCAGTTGAGCGTAGGCATCCAGTTGGCGATGTAGTGGTGCTCTTGGATCCAGGCTTGGTCGTATGTGTCATGGGAGGTAAGTTGAATGGTAGTGTAGTGGTGGATGTTGTTGTGTGAATGCCAATAACGTAAGGATAGTTCTGCAGAAATGGGGATGTTGTTCTGGAGCTGCTTGAGTTTGGCACGGCGATTGTGCTCGCGGTGGGGAATGCCAATTGCTGTGGAGCCAACATAGAAGTGGCCATGTTGATGGTAGCAGCGTTGGGGTTGGTCGGAATTGAAGTGGAGCTTGATGTAAACGGAATTTGGGGAGAGGAAGTTGTGGTAATGGTAGGTGTGGGGTAGAATGTGGAGCTGGCGGAGACGGTTGCGCCATTGTTGTGAGCGACGGGTGTTGGAGGGGTATGCGAAAAGGAGTGTGATATGGATAAGGCCGGTTGCAAAGATGGCCTCGGCCCGGTCGATGTATTGGGTGCGGTGAATGAGGGTGGAGAGTGCTCGGTGCAAGTGGAAAAGTTGGGTGAGGTTGGTGTGGCTGGGTTG